CTACCGATAAATACACGTTCAACGCAGTTATAATACACACCGGGTGATTTAACTCCATTTGTTTCATCCGAAGCTTTGTGATAATATTGGGAAGTATCCATGGAATATAATCAGAATTTTTCATGTCAAGATTGTGAAAAGTTTGGTAGCCCGGATGGGATTCGAACTCAAGCACGGACACCGTCTACGGTTTTGTACAGTGCACGCTCTATCAGCTTAGCTACCAGACCAAACCAATGTCACTGTTTGTTTTTTCTTATTCTAATTATCCATCCAACTTACCGAGGCACGTGGCATCCACCAGGTAGCCTGTAAGCTGACTACCCCGACAGGATTTCCCCAGAATTCAACCGAGTCCACCGTATGAACTTCTAATGCAAGGTTAATTGTTCAAATTGTTGTTTGGCCGATTTGAAATTTGAATGTGAAAAGATCAGTGGTTTCGGTGTAGCCCCGTAGCTCAGCTGGTAGAGCTTGCGCTGTACAAAAGCGTAGGCAGCGTACATGTGTGGGTTTGAATCCCACCGACGTAGAAACTTCAAATCCACCAAACAACAATTTGAATAATTCGAATTGTCGGTCTGTCAGTCTGTCAGGAGTTTTTAATTTCTTACCACGCGAAGCGGAGCATTCTGTTTGCCACTACTTCATCCGTACGAAATATGAGAAAACAAGTGGTTTGCTTAATTGTCATCTTCACACTCCTGTCCAATTTCGTGTGTACAAGTTTCTCCTGTACGTAGTGGCTTCAAGGACATTATTTTACTGCACTAGATGGAAAGTTTGCCGTTGGTATGCAACCTGTGATAGTCCTTAACTCGATGGCCATAGTACTTTGCATCGGTAACCCAATCATGTCCTGATGAATTCCAGTATGCTACAAGAGTGTTAAATGAGTTAAGGACCGCATAAACCTCAAACGTTGCCGACACGTACTATGCTGGATTATCAAAGGTTTCCATTCATCTTCACATGCTTGCTTGAACTGATTTTTTTCCTCATAGTACAAGCCAAAGACTGAATGAAATTTATGTATGAGTGATACAGTTGGTAGATTGTTGGCTGTAGATTCATGCACCACGTTCTTCGTTGGTTTACTCAACCTTGTTACTTTCCTCACCAAACTGCCAATCAGACGCGAGCAACGGGATGTGTATAATAATAATCGACCAATCAACTGGAGATTGACTTTGCACGGTATAGCGATTATCTAACTACGGGTAAGCAATTAACTGTTTGAACGAAAGATTGTCACATTTGCATGAGCTCCTATACCACAGAAATATCACAACATTTCATATTCTATGCGTATGCGGCCTTGCGTAATGAGCGAATCACGGAATGTGACTGATGCCGTTTACAATCATTTCGCATTTCCCCCAATACCAACGACTGAAATCGTTCTCATATGTTTCATCTTATCGTTGGGAATACTTTTCAACTGGTACACTGTTTACGAACTCAGTCAAATACAAATCAACTCACTTTTGTCAAAAATCTTACTGTATAACCAGAATCTGTTTGACGCGTCGTTCGCTCTGATAACGATTTGTGGGGTGGCAACGGAAAATTTCACTCTGCCCAATCCCGACGAACCTGTTCATCCGATAGTGTGTTATCTGTTTCAGAGTGGCTGTGCGTCCCGTATGATTCGTATCATGCTTGTGTGCAATGTTGTTTGTCAATCGGCCGATCGGTTTTGGGCAGTGGTCTATCCGAAATCCTATCATGCTCACGCGAGACGTTATGTGGCAATATGCTATTTGTTCAGTTCGGTCTACCCCATCATGGTGACGTTAACCCGTTTTCTAAGCATGGAACTGGTGGACGGAATTTGTCAGTCAAAACCATTGGCTGTGGACGATCTAATCATCCTAGCTATTGACAGCAGTTTGCGCTACACCATTCCGATAGTCTTTATTCTCGTGTTCAACATTTCCGTCACATTGAGACTGCATAGTTTGGGACCGAGTAGAACAAAACCATATCACACTGACAGTATATCGATTGATACCGTGAGCGAGACTAGGAACAGTGTGCCAAACTCAGCATTAGTACCATCATCGGATCATATGTCGATATTTCTCAGCGCAATTTTAATGACGATTGAAATGACCGTGTTGGAATTACTCTCAGTCACCTTATCTGTGCTGAATTATCTTAAACTGGTAGATTTCTCGATCAATTCACTGGCTCGTTTGTATTACTGCGTCTTTGTGGCTTTGTTTGCCGCGTTCAATCCGTGTCTCGAAATTCTCACCATAACTAATTTGAGGCGTGCAATGTTGAATCACTGGAAGGGTTGTTTTTCCCCATGTAAAGTAAATACGTGCGAGAATGCAATTGCCCGTTAATAGTTCTGTATAAACTTCAAACGGAAGCTTTATCTGCACATTCATATGAGTGGCCCTCACAATTAATCAATCTGATATGGGACTGGAAGGGTGACCAGCCCCTTATTGGCCCCCGTCTATGTGCTCACCTTACAGATCGATTGATCCGTATATTGAAAAATTCACTGAACAGCACCGACCTTTTCTCTCGCACTTTATTTGACTTCCCTCAATTTACCTCAGTTTGAGGAGTCGTTGCATGTATTCATCTGCCATCAGTTGACCTGACTTTAAGTAAAAGAAAGAAAGGAAGTGTTTCTTTTGTTGAAGTTTATGCGCATGGTTGCGTTATTTTGTGTTTAGAAATGAAAATTGTGATTCAGTATGTACCACATCCTAATCACAAATGACGATGAAAAGATCTTTAAGATGATGTACAATATTTGCATCCCTGGTAGCAGCATATATCCAACACCAGCTTGCTCTGGCTCGAGTACAGACCAAAGACGGTAAGTTTTCCAGATTCATAAAAACAAGCTACTCAAACCGGATTCAGCTGTTAGTTTCAAGTGGGCACTAAATGATGAATGCTTGAAACTCTTTTGAATTCCCCCTGATGGAATAAATAAATTTGGGAATGCTCTCATAATATCAGTCGCCCAATGAATGACTTAAATGCAACTCTTATGTTTGTTCGTTTTACATGAGCATATATATGTGCGTTTACAGCTGAATGAGAGCACGCGAAATAGATGACCAACATGAATTCTGACCACGTGTGTTTCTTGTTTTGATGAAATAGATAAGGGAAAAAGGATGTTTTACAAATTTCAAGGAGCACCTCCCAGCTTATGTGGTCAACTGTTTGTACATACTGTTAACCAATAAAACCCAATTCTGTGTCAACACAGGACTTGTCCATCACCTTGGCTTTGTTTTGGTGACGCTTCCTCAATTTAAAAGTGTTTAATCCAATCACAAACCCTAGATAAATATTGTATCTGTCTCCAGCAGGCACCAGTTGAAATGCAGCGAAATTGTTCAGGACGTAAATCTGGCGATCATGCTATACTGTTTTCTCTTTGCAAACGCAACTGTTCAAAATCTCCGGCGTACCATATATTAATCGGGTTCTGTCAATCAGTTTAGAAAGAATCATTCAACGAATGTGAAAATTGAACTGAACTGGTCAGGTGTTGATCAACCTCGTTCAACATCACTCTCATTTTGAAAATACCGTTGAGTCTCCAATGCCATATTTGTATATTGATGGTTATGGGTAAGGTGTATTAATTACCGATTTCACCTCCCACTTCTATGCTCTTATCTTGCTTCTATCACCATTTTAATCTGCGCGACCTTGAGTGTTGCGATAAAGTTTGTTGTAGGTTGGAAGTTACAACCGATATTTGGGAAATATTTCCTGCAAAGCACCATAGAAATTGATTGTTTAATAAATAATTCCTGTTTCATGAGAGTATTTATTAAGTTGAGCAAACGCATTCTAAACTGCTTATCTCTTTTCAATCAGTTGACAATAAATAAGCAAATAAATGAAAATATTCTGACTTAAATAAATTGATGAATTATTTGCTATAAGCTGCTCAAGCAATATCCACAATACTGAAAGAACCGAAAATATAGTCCAAGAAAAATACAAGTTGATTATCAAGAGTGGACCTTGAGGTCTGCGGCTCGCTGAACAAGCGTCTTATAGTTTCATCAGACCCAAGTCCGATAAATCATCCCAAGGGTTTTGGTATACAATTGAAGCCGATATGCAGCTTAATCGAGAGGCACATAAATCCGATGACTCAGTTCGGATATGAGAAAATGCTTTGATATGGACTTAAGCTCAACGTTTTGCACAATCAACGGAATTTCGCATTCAAGACAGACTGAGAGGAAGAAAACCGATCATATCAAAGCAAGACGATGGTTGTATTTGATTGCAGCAGAGAACGGTTACATAAAAGCAATCTGGAGGATAGTTTGGGTTGATTAACCGTTTTTCTTCATGCTTTCGTTTGGAAAATACTGGCTCAATTTGAAGTGTAGATGAGGCCACGTGATATGAAGCTCTTATGGAACACCCAACAAAGCAGCTGCTCTAGAGTACGTATTGATTTTACCAACAAGTTCAAATCGCACGCATCTTTCTGGATATTGCAAAATATGTTGCACTGATGAGGGAGGTTTTCGGTAACTGCTACACTTTACATTCTTTCGCGGACGTCATATTTTTTATAGTTGAATTTTAGTATATCTTCTCAATTGAGGTTACTAATAATAAACGGTTGGACCTAATTAAATATTATTTTTCACATTTATGCAGTCTCTAGAAGGGTAAAGTTCAATATCAAATTCATTCATTTCCGCGCAGCAGCTGGGATTTTAATTTGGTCGGAAATTTTCCGTGTCAGAAACAGGGATATGTCAGCTGCCTCCACACTGATTGCCAATGGTTTGGGAAACTAACAAATTCTGTTTGGCAACTGATGCACAAGCAACTATGGCCGAAATCGTGAAATTGTACACCTCGACGGCATGTGGCTAATAGAAGCAAAGACATAAGTTGGTATCATATCAGATATGGTGCGTCTGATGTGGGGCAATATCATTCTCAGTCCCGTGAATGACCCTGGTAAAACGAAGCATTGATAGGAACAAATGTAATGAAATTCCGGATGTTGCACGAGTTTGGTCATTACCTGTACCTTTTAAACTTGAAGTAAATCCAAACAGTTGCATTCTACTAGGAACGTAACGAAGTGATTGGTTCTTCAGTCGTCATATGTCACCGATTGGACCGTGTCTATCGAAACCCTGTCCAGTTCTAGTGAACTGAGTTCTCCATAAACAAATAAATTTACTTTTGTGAGTTGCCAAGTTTGGATGAAAGTTTGGATGGGGTATTGGTTCACCGTCCATCCCTCTCCAGCCCCATCTAGGTATGTTATATCCTTGACCATTGATCGTATGAAATTAGGAGGAGAATGAACAAACCCGGTGATGATTGGCCTCGATCGGCCGAGTAAGGAAGGGAATCACTTCAAAATGGATCAATAATTCGGTCTTTATGCTCAGGCATGAATGTTGGAATGAATCACAGCATGAAGTGGCTCAGTCTGGGGCCGTATTAGTGTACTGAGTTAATTTCGTCAATGCAGAGGTCCCTTCGATTCATTTCAGACAAATGCAACTCTCAAGATATTTCCGGCATTGTAAGGCACAAATAGCAAGATACTTTACGAGCATGAGGAGATGGAATTAACAATATTTCATGTGAATGGTAAGATTAAATTTGAACACATTCATCAAGTAACAGAATTCACATTTTTTCTCTGAATTTTCCGAGATGACCATTACATTCTATTCGTAGTGCCAACAGCAACAATCTGCAGCTTTTCCCTTTATTGCGCAAGCTTGGAGCATATTTTATCATCTATGTTACATTCTTCTTCATCCACGAGGCATCTTTTCACCACTCGCGCATATCTGTGCGATCCCTATTGTTCAATGCATGGGACGTGTGATCATGAGAATAAATCAAAGTTACCCATGGTTCAGGTGTTTCATGGTGGTGGTGGCGCAGTCATTTAGTTGCTGTCACAGGCATGCTTTGGTTCCTATGATCCGAGGTTTGAGCCCCGCCAAAGCCATTCAACTTTGGTGGTAGGCAGCTTTGCTCTCGTCCGGTTCAATACCACACCTTACCTATTGGGGCCTTTTGTGGTTCGCCACTCCAAGTCCCGGGGTGTAGATCACCGGGCTTCCATCCCTGAGTAGCAGGTTCTCGTGACTATGGGGTTCGCCCTACCTGCTGTTCATCACACGAAAGCGTGTAATAAAAAACGTTAAAAAATATTCATTTAAGATATGCACAATTGCTGATTTAGGGTTGTCTCAACCTAGAATCCGAGAAGTTTAGAAATATATTTCAAAGTGACATCTGCGATAAACTTGAACCTATTCCCCTATCCGCCGCTCGCAGACGCAGCAGCTGTGCTGAATGTATACCTAAAATGGTTCGGACAACATGGTCTTCTTATCTGAAGGGACATTAGTAAGAAATAATTAGATAGTAGCAGTTTGCTGGGTCATTTATTACCATTCGTCGCTTTTTATACAAACCTGGAACATCAAAACAACACTTTTCGAGACCGATAAAACCAGTCATCTGGTGTCCGTTGAGTTTTTGTGAAATTTTCATCAATAAGAGGGGATGAAATAGACTGATGGCATCGAAGATAGTTCATCAGCTGACAAACAGAGTGAGTGAAAAAACTTAGCTGGGAAAGAAACCCCATCGGGAAATCGAGGAGTGAAGTAAAACGGCTAATCCTAAAATTAAAGCATCTGGTAGTGAGGCTCTTTCGAACCTTGTTTCGGACGAGAGTGGTGTTACAAGTTCCTTCTTACACAATGTCATTGAAATGGAAAAACAATATCCTCATGCTGATATGAGATATGAGGATATATGGGGATATGGGATACCTAAAATAAACACTGTTTACATTTTCGAATTACTAAAAAACACGTATAAAATTCCAATGTGTGCGACCAAAAAAATAAACAGAACACAATGGCAGCATAGATTACGCCTAACCCATTGAAAGGTTTACGTGATGGAATCTACAGATGAGCGCACATTTTGACCCCAAACGAAATGGAATTAAGGCAGAGAGCCGAATGGCATTCTTTTGGAAGTTTCTGGCATAGTTTAAATCGAAGGCAAAAGGATGTCAAACAGCCCTAAGAAAAATGCTTACGAACAGGCGCAGTAAGGGTATCGGGAATCTTGAGAGTNGATCGATCTGTCCCTTCGGTCTGACTGATGTATGCCACATTGGGGAATGCAGCATGCATGTGTCCACTTGACGGTCACAAGTCCTTAAGTCCCGTTGATTAGCGGGTAGATTATCTTCTCCGCATGAGTGAGTTTTCCTATACTGCACAAAAAATGTGTTAAACTCATAGCTTTGCGTTGGACTACCTCATCATGAACAAGTTGTAGTTAG